GATCAACTACCAACCTCCCATGCACTGATCGATTGCCATACTTCGCGCCGCCTCAGGCTTTCTTTACGTCCATCACGACACGCGCAACGGATGCGCAGAATACGGGCAGACGTCACAGTCGTCTTGCGCTACCTTGCGGCATCTTTGTTTATTTTGAGCGAAAACACGTTATATATAACGACGATATGATAATGGTAGATTGAATGACGCCCTATATGGCTTAAAAGAGGGCGCGTTTGATGGCCCATTACGCGAGGGCGATCAGAGCCCGTATTTGTACATACTCCAGAGGCAGAAGCATTGGGAGTATTGAACACTGGGCAAGAGACCATGGAAGTAGGTAAAGACATGGCTACTAGCTGTCGCAGAAAACCATAATCACTCCGGCATTCATGAACAACTTACTGTCGTCTCATCCGCTTTTCAATGCTCGCCTTGAACGCGATGCAGTACAGGACAAGCCTTGTGCTATAACGTTTATGCAAGCTTACACACAAACATGCACGTCGCTCCAGAGACATTCGGCCCGACAAACAAACGTGACATCGGCTTTTGCTATCTGATAGACACCCATCCTGTATAGGTACCCAAGGCACCCACTCCATGCATCTGATCCACAGCAGGACTAGCGCTGGTCCAGCCCACATGTCACTCGAGTCCCTGCATTGTCTACATCGTTTGCCTCGGCTATCCACGTTGGTAGTATACCGTGGGAGCATACGGGCCTATAACAAGAAACCATGCCGGAGATACTGTGTCGGCTCTGACAGCTTTTTGGCATACAGGGACCATGCCACTTTCCTTGAAGGATCTGCCTTGAATGGCAAGTGTAGCATGAGATCTGCCTGTCGAATTGATGGCACCCTGCTATCGGGATGCGAAATTCTAGCAAACACAGATGCTGCTTATACCATGTGGCCGCTCTTCTATCTTCAACCAGATAAGTGACATAATCCAGGTTGTCGCAGGGAGTTCCATCTCGCCAGGTATGCCCACGTAGAAACCTGGGCCTGGCTTGAGATATTGTCAGTCGAAGCAAGAGTATAAGTGTACGTAGGTAGATCCAGACGGTCCTTTACCCTTCCACGCTTACACTGGAGACGCAGGAACCTACGTCATTTGCATACGCACCCCCTTGTCACGAAGATCAGATCTACCGATGCCACTCGTAAATGCGGTCAACTTTCCTGTGGCGGCGGGATTTTTGAGCAGACTTCGGAGTCAGAAATAGATGGCTGGGCCGACATCTCGTAGTGCTTCCAGTGAGATATCGTATGCGCGGAGAAAAGCGGCCCGACTTTCCTCTAGTTGCCATACAGCCTGGGCAGAATCCACTCAGCTGGGCAATCACATGCAGATCTATAACAAAACATCTCGTAACAACAACCTCGAATCCTGGGAAACTTTGGCTTCTAACCGGTTGGACGGTTGGACGCTCCTGCAGCCCCGACCACTTACAGGGAGCGGAACATTGAGCGCAGCCATGTTGAGCCAGATGCTTCTACCCGGGCCCTGACATGGGAGAAAATAATCTAGGAGATATCGCTCCGTTGTTGAGAGACTGAGGGACGTTTTTTAAGCGAGGCCGAGTGCGGTGGTGGTGAGCGTGCGACTGGGGGGACCCAAGTATCTTTTGCAGGATGACAACCCAAGATTGAGGTCGGTGTTAGACAGGGCTAAGCCCGCGTTTTACGTACAATGGCGTGGATTGCACCCGATCTTCCAGAAGCACCGGACGCTGAAGAATTTGTGCCTCGCTCAGATTTGCCGTTGTTAATCGGCAGTCCTCAGTCGGGTGCCATGACAGCGGAGAGGCTGGAGTGTATGACATCACCGGTGTAATGGTCTAACTGCGTGGGTGGGATTGGCGGAGACATCCGGGTCCTGCGAAATGCCGGTACTCGGAGCGGAAAGGGTTTTGCCTAAAGTGCGAGCGGTGAAGGCATACAAACCAGGGGTCGAGCGAGCGGAGCGGAGAGGACTATCGATGCGAGCTGCGAGGGTCTTGATCTAGGTAGCGTTGGCGTAGTGGTAGCATGGTAAGTGCCCTGTGGAGAACACGCGACACGTGCGGAGGCCCGTTTGTCTACCATGTACTAACATGAAGGTATACCGTGGAACGGTACGGAACGGTTAGCATATTGGCCTCTCATGACTCGTAGCGGTTCCGAGACACATTTGGACGCTTCCAACACTCGTATTGCCAATATGCCAATCGTGTGCTTCAAACAGGAAGACACGAACTGCCGGTATACAGTAAGATCGATGGGCTCCTCCGCAACGGTCGTCTACGTCCCCATGAGTCTTAGGCGAGAGATTATGATGCGTAGTCGGGCCCCATCCGTGGGTGACGTGCATGCGCAATGCTAAAAACTTCCAGTATGGTAACGAGTACATAACAGTAATTCCTGGAGACAATTAAACTGGATCTGTATGTACTACCACACAGATAAGGCAGAGCTGGAGTAATAGAAAGATGACAAGATTTAGGTGGGGGAAGCAACGCCATGCAGCCATTGGCCGTCCCTTCCTCCCTTATCTCTCGGCTGTACGTAAGATAGAAAGAACGACGGGTGCTAAGCCGCATCCAGCTTACGACCAAGGAGCATCCGTGCACAGTGCATCTCCAAAGTCGTCCCGAGCACATGTGCCACAAAAGACACCCACAGCGCGCTCTCCAGAAACACACTCCAACATATACAAACAACGATCCCCATGATGCGCCAGTTTTCTCCCCACACATAGTCCCAGGTCGCCCAGTCCAAGACTCTAGCAGATCCCGCTCTATCCGCTCGCCTTGGTCCACCCTCCACGTCTTTGTAAACCTTCAATGACGACGCGAACCATCAATCACCTCATTCTTCTCACTGCCGTCACGGGTAACTTAGGGCCTTAGCCGGTTGTTCCTCTTTTCCTCGATTGGATTACCCGGCTTACTGCATTTGCTTTATCTTTTCCGGGACATACCACATATCCACCGAGTGACCTGTCTATCTATCGCCCACGCGATAAGACTTGTCACGTACCCTGCTTCCGATAGCTAGATACTTGCATCCTGATCCGGAAACCGGAATCTAGCCAACGGGCCGCATTCTATTATAGTCTTATCGCCAGCGAGCAATGACGGCAGTAGCAATGCAACAGCCCGCTATGGGCCCGCGTCCTGTTGTCTCAATTGCACCAGCCCGTCCTCGCACCATACACAAGTCTCCACCAGGCAAGGAGACTTTGAGCAAGCCTACCTCGAACAACGGCTCTGTATCTAACATCCGCTCACGGAGGGAACGCCCTTGTGACGCGTGCAGAAGGAGGAAAAGCCGCTGTGTGATACACGAGGGTGCTGCGCTGTGCGTCTTGTGCGAGTTTCACAAGCAAGAGTGTACGTTTGTACAAAGCCCACTGCCACGCAAGAGGAAAGTTGTCGACGGCGAGAAGAAGGACTCGCCCAACAACACCAAGAAGAGGTATGTCCAGCCGTCAAGGCTGCGTCACCAACGCGACCTTGTCACGTGCTCACGTGTTACTCTCACTTGTGATTTACTCTGATGAGCGATGCGACTGCTTCCATGCATCTCCGTTGCATATTGCATCATGCCGCTGAATGGGCTGGCTGATACGTCGTAGATCTGTCGACTCTGACCCCCCGCCGCTAGCACTCTCAACGCCCACCATCACAGCAACTGCGCCGAGTCCCCCACCCCCAGCACCTCCCCCTCAACTATCGCAACTAGCGACCCTCCACTTGCCTCAACTTGGAGAGACGCTGGGCCTGCAACGCCGCCAACATAGCAGGTATATCGGTCTGAGTTCCCCCTTCGACTCGCTGCTCATTGGTCTCTCCCAATTCGATACCCGTAACGAGTCTACATTCGACCTTGGCACACTGCGAAGGGTAAACGATCATGAATGTTTCATTATGCTGCCTGACGAGAACACACAAGACTTCGCCGGCGAGTCTGAGGCTCTGAGCCAGGTCGAGCAGCTCGTGCACCCCCATGGTCCTGCTCTATTAGATCTGTACTTCCAAGTAGTACACCCGAATTACCCCATCATACAGAAGCACTTGTTCGTCGAGAGGTATCGCAATGGCGATCGCAGTTTTTCGCCAGCTCTCTTAGCCGGCATGTATATTTTGGCGCTCAACTGGTGGACCCTCAATCCCAAACTAGCAAACTACTCCAAGCCCGATGCATCCCGATTAGAGACTATTGCCATGAAGGCACTGACACTGGCCATGGAGCGACCAAAACTGTCAACTGTACAGGCAGGTTTGTTGCTGCTTCAACGTCCAGAAGCAGATTCGTGGAGTTTGACGACACAGTTGGTAGCCATTGGCCAAGAATTAGGACTTCACCTAGACTGCTCATCGTGGTCCGTACCCCTTTGGGAGCGTGGTCTGCGGAAGCGTATCGCGTGGGCGTTGTATATGCAAGACAAATGGAGTTCGCTCATCCACGGTCGACCATCGCACATATTCAACGCAAACTGGGCAGTGAAGCCTATTACGGAGGAAGACTTCGTCGAAGAGGGAGACGGATATGACACACGACAAGAAGAGACTGAAGACGAGCAAACAGACAATCACCGAGGCCGGATACTCTTCGCTCAGATGATTGGGTTAACTCAGATCATGGCAGAAGTCATGGACACTTTCTACACCCAGACGGCTATCCAAGATTTCGCCAATGCTGGGAAAAAGTCGACCGACATGATTCTTGCACGTGCTAAGCCTGTACAAATCAAGCTTCGTCAGTGGCACGAAAAACTGCCAGCGGAGGTCAAGATGACCGTGCCCGAGAAAGGGAAGCTCACGTCAACGGGATATCTGCACCTTGCATACTTCGCAACGGAGATTACACTCCATCGCCGCATTGTACAGTCGCTTGACTCCACGGTCCGGGACTCGTATGGCCTCTTCATGTGCCGCAACGCAGCAAAGACTCGCTTGATTTCTGCGATGGACTTTGTCAATCGACTCAAGCCAGAACACTTGCAGTCCTTCTGGTTTTTCGCATCAAAGGTCAACTTCACTCTGATCGGTACCTTTGGGTCGTTGTTGTGGGCGACAGCACCCGCCAAGGAAGAAGCCGAGTTCTACAAGCTACGACTATCGGAGTATCGCTGGACCCTCTCCGTTTCTTCGAAGCGCGCTGATTTCCTTGATTACGCCGTCTCCATGTTGGATGCAAGCCGTGCCATGCTAAACAACTTGGCGGAAAAGCCTACTCTCGCAGAGCAGCAAGTCAGCAACGCCGGCGTGCCACCAGCGGCGCCTCCGAGACAGTACTCGTCCTTTTCGAACATGGGGCCGCCACAAAACCCCAATGGGGCAGGAAGATACGAACACGAAGACATCGACATGGAAGACGACAATGACCTCAGGCGGATGTCGTCGGGCGAAAGCTTCGAAGGTTTCAACGACGAGTCGCAGTATGGTGGTAGTCGGCCGCCAACGGCTGGCAACTCGCCTCGCTCACAGTGAGGTAACGATCTACGTATGTTTTACGAATTTGGCGACATGTGGCTTTTTGATTGGGATTTCCCGGGATAGATAATTCAAGTTACAAGCGATCAGGCGATATGTCTTTGACGGATCGTGGGCGTTATATAGGGGCACACACACATGTGCTTGCGCTAGAATGGCGCCATATCGCGACACATGATATCCTTCGGCACACATGGGGCCTGTATTTCCTTTTTCAGTAATGACTGGTCATGAATCGATGACTTATACTAGCCTAGACCACTGCTTTGGGTGTGTTGTATGGGCGCTCTGGATCGACGATTGATAGTGCTGTCTTGAGTAATGACAGCGCAGGCGAAGTCAGCCCTTTTGCTACAATAGTACACTTTACCGTCAAAAACAAAGTTCCGAAACATATACGCGTATGCGCTAGTGTGACAATACTCCGGGCCGGCTTTGAGCTGTCACCGCATTTCCGATATTTAGATGTGGGTGGACGTGTAGTGCCTGTAGTTGTCTGGAGAGCCTGAGTAGGTTGCGATGCGGGCAGCGTGTGGGACCCCGCCGCCCTACACCCATAAACGGCCTTTCCATTCTCTCGCCTTCCATCCTAGTGAATTGCTTCTGTTCTACGTAGCTAATTAGCTGCACAGTTCGACGCACATGATCTATGTTGTGTTAGAGAGTACTCTTACGAATGTTCTCAGCCCATCACAACCGGTGTGAGATTGCGAACGCGTGTAACTGTTCTGAATCGTGGGCGTGACGGGCGCCTCATCTGGGCTTGCGGCCCCCAAAATACGTGACCATCACAAACCTCCCACCTTCTCAGCTCATCACATCTAAAGCCACTGGAAGTCGAGACGCTTATCTGGCCGCGAAAAGAAACATGTGCGGCCGCTTGCGCTTCCTCCCGCTACGAACGTGCCAGTGCCACTCTGCGGGGCCGTCAGCCGCAACTTGGGATGCGGGATATACTCCAAACGATATTGTCGGTCAAGGCCGAACATGAGTCGATCTTTTGCGGTGTGAGATCTCTCGTAGAGACACAGTGAGATGGCAGTGCTGCCTCATGGTCTGCATGGCTTTTTCTGTGGCTTGCTTTTAGTAGTGCTTACCCCTTTCACGTTACATACAGCATCTGATCTCAGCTGGTGGACTTCGACAATTCAGCCAGCCATTATACGAGACTTGAGTCCTCTGAATCGTTGCATCTATACTTACGTGAAGTGTCTATATAGACGTCCAATCTGCATGTGTTTTTATCGACATCTTATCCATTTCTGCTTTCTCAATCTGCTTCCTCATCATGGCTGATGATAAGCCCTGGTGCCGAAGGCTCGTCGTCTGCTGCGACGGCACCTGGCAGTCCAGCGTTACCAGCAAGGCAAACGTCCCGTCCAATGTCACCAAGCTCTGCCGCCTCATTGCCCGTACCGGCTCAGACCGATACGACCCAACGAAGAAGTTCCACCAGATTGTCTATTACGATTCCGGTATAGGAACTGGAGATTTGAGCCATTCGGAAGCCAGTCGACAGGGCGGAACTGGCGCAGGTCTCGCGGAGAATGTCATTGAGGCTTACAACTTCATTGTGCAGAACTACTTGCCAGGCGATGAGATCTTCTGCTTTGGCTTCTCGAGGGGCGCCTATACCGCACGTGCAGTTGCCGGATTAGTGTCTGATATTGGTGTCATCTCACCAGTCAACATGCAGCTTTTCCCGGAACTGTACAGTCTGTACATGAAGACTGAAGTGGGCGTGGACTTCCGGGACTCGGATGGGTGGAAGTGTTTCACGGAAGGCAAGCTCAGTGAACATGGAGAGGAATTATTGCGTCAGGGCAAGACATTGGAGGAGCTGAAGGAGCTCTCTGAAAAGAGTGTTGATAAGAAGCAAGGGGCAGAGGTTTGGACGATTCGGCCGCATGGGGATCTTGCGGTAAGTCAAGAGAGCAGGAAAGTGACGGTTGTTGGTGTCTGGGACACTGTTGGTGCTTTGGGAATACCGGACGTCGTTGGCCTGAACTTCTCTCGTGAGAGGGCACAGTATGCTTTCCACAACGTCAAGTTGACCGAAAGTAAGTTCTCATGTCTCGTTATGTATGACTCTTACTAACCATCCAATAGATATTGAGCATGCGTTCCAAGCACTAGCAATGGACGAACGGCGCGAAGCTTTTCGTCCGACTCTGTGGTATATCCCATGCGATGTCATCAATGACAAGACGAAGAAAACGCCTGATCTGAAGCAAGTCTGGGTATGCAAGCCAGTTGCAAGGTGTATGGAATGATTCTAACGAGCTCATAGTTCCCAGGCGTCCACACAAACTGCGGAGGTGGCTCGCAAGACGCATTGGAGGACATGAAGGAAGATGCAGAGAGTAAGCATCACTCTACCAATTCCATTATCAATGCTGACATTGTTACCCAGACATCGCTACAGCAACGTTCTGCTGGATGCTCCAAGTCATCGCTCCCTACCTTTCCATCGACCGAAAGGCCTTCGACGACTACATGGAGCAATATCAGCGCTGGCTCTACCGCATCCGTTACGCCTGCACCTACCACCACGCCGGGCAGATTGAGAAATACGCCAGCTATCTCCCTACACTGCCTGCGCTCCCTTTTAGCAGCTACTTCAGTCCTGCACCCAAGTCACCCCGCCCCAAACCGCCACCACACACGCACGATCTGAACCTGGGCTGGGGCCTTGGACCAATCGTCGATTCATACGGCGGCATCTACAAATACAACTACGGCAGCATCTCCAAATTCAGCGGCGCGCGCATGCGTACTCCAGGCTACGAAGAGGGAGAACTATACCTCGAGGACGAGAAAACACACAAATGGTCGTTGAAATGGTCGCCGCTCAGAGATGAGGGCCACACAAACGAGTACATCCACCCTCTTGCCTACTACCGCCGACTCGTTCTGCCCGTCCAGGACCCACACTCGCCCATTAAAGACTGGAAGCGCGGATGCTGGAAAGATGAGGCGGACGGTAAGGTGCGATACTGGTGGTACAAGAACGAAGCCGAGATTGTGAATGCTTTGCCCGAGTGGGCTGTCTTGCCTGAGCGCGATGTGTTCAACTTTGAGCGACACTGGTACAACAAGTGTGACAAGACTTCAGCTCTAGAGAAGTTGGCGGAAGTAGACGGATTTGGCCCTGGAAAGGACTTTTTCGAAGTGTTGGATAAGAAGATTGATTTTGGGCCTGACTGGGCGGAACAGAATAGTTACAGTTCGACAAACCTTCAGCCGGAGAAGTATGTTATGAAGGGTAAGCGCGCTGCAGGCAAAAAATAGACTTATCAAATGATGATATTCATGGAGTTAGTCCCGTTTGCAAAAAGACGACCCACCCTTTGCCTTAAGATGAGAGAGCTATAAGACAAAAAAGAAAGCAAAAAATGGACGGGCAGGTGATCGAAACCTGGACCTTCCGCATGCTTCGTGGAGGATGCAAAGCGGACGCTCTACCACTGAGCCACACGCCCAGTAGATGTATCTTACGTAAGATGAGAGAAGGATAAACTCATCATAATATATACTACAGTCAATATCAGTTGGGATGAGGCCTTGAAGCGCTGTGGTACCATGACGTCTAGCCTGATTTCGGCTTGTGGGCCTTTAGTCAATTCGAGAGGGGCTAAACGTGGCTTGCGGGATATACCAAGTTCCACAGCCACACCCTTGGCGCATCCCGGCGAACCACGTCGTCAGCTTCCCCGAACACCAATACGCATTGTCTCAGGCAAGAACACGTTTTCACATCTGTCACGATCGCATCTACTCATAAATCACGTCTTCGCGATCTCTTCCGTGTCCACCTACATTGAATGCCCTCAATCGACCGCGCGTCCACGCATTTCCTGGCATAAAGCTCCCAGCTCACCAAACAAACACGACCGCAACCGCAACAACCACCACGATGGGGTCATTAGGCACCTACTTTCTGGACGTCGTCTATTCTTTCACAAACTGCATGGTCTGCTTCCCGAGTTCACCACACCTCAAAATCAACAGCCGGAGTTTCAAGATACTGCGGTTGCTGGGCGAGGTAAGCTTCCTTATCTAAGTGATTATGCGCAATGGACTGATCGCGATGAAGGGTGGCTTTTCCTACGTCTACCTCGTTCAAGACAATTCAAATCAACAGCTTCTCGCCCTCAAGAAGATACGATGTCCATTTGGTCAGGAGAGCGTCAGTCTGGCGTTGAAAGAGGTCGAAGCATATGCACTCTTCTCGCCACACCCAAACATCATACACTCGATCGACTACTCCGTTGAGACTGATAAATCCGATGCGTCTGCGAAGACAGTATACATCCTACTCCCATACTACCGCCGCGGTAACCTACAAGACATGATCAATGCGAACCTAGTCAATCACACAAAGTTCCCAGAGCGGAGACTGATGGTGCTGTTCCTCGGCGTATGTAAAGCGCTCAAGGCGATGCATCAGTACAAGGTCAAGGGCGGCCCTGGTGGCACACGGAGCCAACAGAAGGCGAAGAAGGTACGAGGAGAGGCGAAGCGAGCGGACGCAGAAGCTGCTGCAAGCATGGAGATGCGCCCGAGTAGGAGGAATCGCGACCAGGAGGATGATGATGAGCAAGAGGCGGAAGGTCTACTGGAAGAGTCCGAGGTCACAGCGGCGCAAGACGGCATCGCGCCCGGTGGAGAGAGGGCTTATGCGCACAGAGATATTAAGCCAGGTATGCATTCACGCTCGCCCAATCCCTATGGAGTAGCAAGACTAACAGAATCAGGCAACATCATGATCGATGACGACGGCCAGACACCCATCCTAATGGACCTTGGTTCGCTTGCACCTTCTCCGACGCCTATAACTTCTCGTTCTCTCGCGCTGCAAGTCCAAGATACAGCTGCCGAACACTCAACTATGCCCTACCGCGCCCCAGAACTCTTCGACGTGAAAACTGGTTCTGTCATTGATACCAAGGTCGACATCTGGTCTCTCGGCTGCACATTATATGCTTGTCTAGTCGGCAAGAGTCCTTTTGAGGCAAGATCGGATGAAACAGGTGGTAGTCTGAGCATATGTGTGCTTGGTGGTGACTGGAGGTTCCCGGATGAAGGTATACAGAGGGGCAAGCAAAAGGCCAACCCCGATGACGCCATCACAGAAAGCGTGAAGGAGGTGGTTAGACAGTGCTTAAAATTGGAGCCAAGTGAGCGACCGGATGTTGATCAGCTCATCAGCATTGTCGAGGGCGTGCTGAGAGAGCTTCCAGAGGATGGTTCTGAGGAGTGAATGCTGAGCTTCAAGTAAAGCCTCTTAACGGGTCCCGGGCTTATCTGTACGATCACCTTTTTTTCCTTACAATGTGTGAGAGTTTCTGGGAAGTTGACAATCATTGTCCTTGATTGGTGCGGAGCATCAAAATATACCCTTTTACATTCTGGTTACATTCTGGCTTGGACAAATTGCACGTTTTCATGTTCTCAAGCTGGTTCCACGCTCCACCGCGCCTCAGTGCCTTACATATATTTACGCCCTCTTCTCTAGCTGTCTCCTCAGAATTACTTATGTACCGTGCACAGAAATCTTCTAGAAACGATTATAAAATCCTGGGCCTTTCCGTTCTCGACGCTTCCCCTTCTAGCAAACTACGTCACGGGGCACTCAGTACTCTTGGCACGAGTATGTTCTTTCCCTTTTTCTCCAAGCCGCATAAACAATGCCTGAGCCGTTGCTTGCTGCATCACCTTGATTGTTATTTATCACAACAAAGCGCGAGGATGAAATGCAAAAGCTTGGCGCAATGCCCATCAAAGTCATCTCCGTCACCTCATCGGAGCAACCTTCCAACTCAACCCATCATCTACTCCAAAACCATGTCTACGCTAGGACACGGCACGCGCCGCCAACCTGAGCGTATTGCAAAGACACAAGCAGCCAGAGAGCAAATGAGCACGCGAACACTCCAAAAAGGCGTGCTTGGTGCCACACCGAACAGCCACTACCTCGCAATGTAAGTGCCCTATCATCATATCACGAAACATTCTAATCAAATACGATAGAGCCCAAAAAATGTCGAAACATCCATGCTGCTGTGTCTACCCGCAGAGATCCGGAACAGAATATGGACTCACGTTGTCTCCGTCGACAAAGTCTACATTGGCAAAGTGTTCTACGACGAGCCGATCGACGAGTACCCCGAAGCCAGCATATTACGAGTCTGCAGACAGATACACGCTGAAATCTGCTTGATGGCTTACACCGTCAATGTGTTCTGGTTCTACGAACATGCGCCTTTTAAAGCGTGGTTGAAACGCAGATTGCCGGCGCAGAAGGCTGCTGTGAGGAGGATCCAGATTTTTTGCAACGGCTGGGAGAAGAGTCCTTTGAGATCATTTACGCGCCTAGAGTCTGTGACCGTGTCGTGCGTTTGTGATGGTATGTGTCCTGTGGATCCTGAGAGGGTGGGGGCTATCAAGAATGAACTGAAGAGGATATGGGGAAGGGGTGATCTCGAAATCATTATTGATTCATGCGTATTCCCCCTTGATGATTCTGATGATTCGCTTCTTTCTAGGTAACTTCGAGATATTTCCGCCAATGGTGCATATTGTGTTTAGCATACCATTGATAGCTATGTAGCAAGAAGTCCAAATACGAAATAACAAAGGTACGGGCACACAGTAATGAGCTGTTCCAGTTCGATGATAATTTTTCTCAGCCTGGTTTGTTGTTGTGGGCGACCCGATTACTCGCTACCAGATATTGACTCTCATCCTGAACCCATCCTCCGTTTCCCGCCACAATATTTTCCTTTCTCCAGAGTTGATTGAAATAACACACATAACTGCAGGAAGTCATGGCACCAAAACCGACGTCAGATCTTGCCCTACTCCTAAGGAGATATTCCAAGCCATACCCAAGCAAGGCATAATACCCAACGCGCTACTTAAAGTCTTCATAGCTCGCATCATGCACGATGTAAAACACTTCTTCGCCACTGTCCGCATGACAGTCCGCGACATACGGAATCGTATCTTCTACCCCCGAAAAGTGCGCTACCTCGCCAACGGCCTAATGGACGCTACACCACTCAGCCCTACAGAAATAGCCCTGTACGTCCTCGCCCCTCTCGCACACAACCCCCTCCCAACCCATCTTTCCTAACTCACTCCCAGCACCCACCGAAACGCCCTAACCTCCCCTCTCCTGCGTCTACCCCCCGAGCTCCGAAACAAAATATACACATACGTAATATACGACTGCCTAGCCTACATCACCTCAGGCCAACCCACCGCCTCCCTCAACCTCCAACTCGTATGCCGCAACACATACAAAGAAAGCCGTCTGTTGACGTTTTCGCTAAACCATTTCTGGTACTACTCTTGCCCCTTTCCCCGGGGGCTAAACACGGATATCGCGGTTCTGCGGAAGAGGCTGTTGCCCGTGCAGTTGCGGGCGATTGAGATAGTGGTGGTGGATAGTATGATGATGAGGAATAGGTTGCGGTGGATGTATTTTAGGGGGGTGGAGTTTGAATTGGGGTTTTTGAAGGGGTTGGGTGGGTTGAGGGAGGTGGTTATTAGGTCGGTGGGGTTTGCTGATTCGGTCAGGATGAGGAAGGGGAGGGAGAAGTTGGAGAAGATCATGAGGGAGGAGTTGGGGGAACGGGTTCGGTTGGGGTTTTTGCGTTGATGGGTGTATGGTTATAAAGGTATATGTAAGTGATGTCAATGCTTAGCAGCAGGTTTTTTCAACGCAGTTTCGTTGTAGCAACAATATAAGCAAGCAGTTAAGGTACTATCCCTGTACTTGAATGTATGGTTATAATAGAGGATGTTCGTTATGAGCTTTCGAGCTCCTAATTTTTCACTTGGATCTGTTCAGGTTGAATAAGATGGTATCCTTGGTCATCGAAGAAGAATTGAAGATGATTAGCATGTTAATAGATAGAGGGAAGAAAGGTGCTCGACAGCGAGATATATGCTGTAAATGTTGTTATGTGGTAGATACGACAAAAGCTGTTATATGCGTTTGGGTGGAACAATCAAAGAACTTGCACCTCACGGACGATATTAAGATGAGGAGATTCAAAGGCTACTCTTGATTACAACTCCACTCCATGCTGTAGATACATCAGAAACCTCTGCTCCTGCTCCTACGCTCGCATTGCGCATCTATACAAAATATACACCGACTGCAACCTCTCACTACTGCGCGACTAGTAAGCACCTAGCTCCACCACCCCACATCGATACACGCACTCGCTCACTCACTGAATTACGATCTGATTCACCGGTACCACACATTACCGCACGAGGAGCGCAAGTGCAAAGCACGCTCCTAACGCAAGGAAATAATTTCTCTCACAGTTTAGAATGAAACGCACAGTGCAGAGGAAGAAGATAAAAAAAAGAAAATCTTGGGGCTGCGATGATGCGCTAGCCGCGTGGTATCAAACACACTGAAAAAAAAGACCATCAGGACTGCAGGAGTCGAAGTCGTCAAACACGCTCGAAAGAAGTATCATCGGGCTCCATGAGTCCGACGCAAGAAAGTAAAACAGAAAAAACCACCCATAATCACAATGTGTGACAACTACACATGCAATGAAAGATGTAACGGAAGATCTGACTGAAGGTCCAACGCACATGGCAATGGCGTGAACAAGCGTTCCTCCACGCAATAGTCATATGCGTAGAACTAGGCGCTGGCCTCGTGATGATTTCGGTTGCTTCGCAGCTCGACTCAAGTGCGTGAGTCGACCGTTGTGTCGCCAGTGTGGAAGTTTCTCGTCGTAGACTCTTCGCTTTAAGTTCCCATTAGAATCGCGAATTGTGGTATTAGAAGTCGAATGAGTAGTAGGCCGAACTACTCAGTGGCCTTTCTGTATTTTGGGGCCTGGGTGCAGGTTGTGCGCCAGTCTGCGAAGATGAAGGACCCGCGGTAATCTGATCAAGCTGAATGTCCTCGCCTATATTGCCGGAGCTCTGGGGCGTGACAGGGTCCCGAATAGTTGCTCCGGTGGCACGCGTCCTACGTTGCCTAGCCGGTCGCTGTTGTACGATGTCGGGGCAGGGGAATAGCCTTGCGACCTTTTGCGGAACCATTCGACGACTATGCCAATGACCACAAGCAGGAATGTGAGTAGGAGAGCAATAGCGAGACCAATGAGGACAATGGCCCAGAGCGCGAGGTGCTTGTTCGCCTGTCTGAAGAATGAATTAGGGTTCTCCACGAAAATGGAAGACAAGCTCCCTGGCTCTGTTTCACCATCCTGGCCCTTGGTGGCCAGCAGGAATGGCATCAGGGAAGTGCCGTCGAAAAGTGCAGCAGAAGCCGTACCAAATGTAGTGATGTTAATCTGACCCATGAGCAGGAGATCTTGGTTGGCGTCGATGATGTTGGAATCCGCGTGGTCCTCAGACAAGGTGAGCACTTGGATACCGCGGATGTCGGTCTGGCGGCCGAAGATAGATTCGTCGGCAGATACCCACTTGCTACCATCAAATCGTTGCAGGAAAGTCTTGCCATCACTGCCCTGACCGGCAGCCCAGAACTGGTCTCCTTCCCTGTTCGCAATAGTGAGGGCAGTGACTGGCCCAGGAAGACCACTGGCACCGGGGATCTCTGTGAACTGGTTGCTGGTCGAGTCGAATGTCATGATCCTGGTCTGATTGTTACCTGAGGTGAGGTTGCCGACGATGAGTAACTTGGTATCGCCAACCCAGGTCAGAGAAGTAACCTTGCCGATCAAGCCGTTGCCGGGGGCAGTCCACTGGTTACGATCGGTGTTCCATATGCACATGGCAGCACAGCTCAAGGCTCCGGCAGACTGGAATTGACCAGCCACGTAAACGTCCTTGGACTTTGGTCGTGGCGCGATAGCGTTCACCGTGACGTTCACACCCTGAAGCGGCGGCGGCTGAACGCTAGTGAAAGCGTCTTTGGTGAGGTCATAGGCGACGATACCAGCAATACGATCATTCCTGAGTCGGCCGCTGATCATACCACCGGCGTACAAGATGTTGTTCAACACAGCAACGGCCGCAAAAGTAGAATTAGCATCCAGCTCGTCGTCAAAGCCAGTAATCTTGTTAGAGTCATTGCCATCAATAATGATGACGTTGGTGATGTTCCGCTTGTCTGCACCCGTGGTGGCGAAATGACCAGCAAGGATAGTCTTGTTGAGACCGTTCTCCTTGTAAAAGGTACCAGTGCGGACTCCAGTGGTGTTCAAGTTCTCTCCGTCAATGATGGCTCTCTTGCGAGTAGAGGTTTGTTGCTGTTGTGCCTCGATCTTGACAGGGAATGCATGGAGTGACAAGCCATTTCCATCCTCTAGCTCAGCAGTACCACTTGCAAGAAGAGCACCAGAAGATACTGATCCACCGTACCAAGGATCGCTTCCTGGAACGTTGGTGAATGTCATCAGTCGACCCGACATGGCGAGAGAGTGAAACTCGAGGTTATGCAGCCAGTTAGCACGAGAAGGGACCCAGACTGCGAAGTCATTGACACTCGTGCTGGGGTTGTTGCCAAACGCGTTCACACGGCTAAAGAAGCCGCTGACAGCGAGAACATCTTCAGGGGTGTTTTCCGTGATGTTGAGCGTGAACGGTACCAGGTAGAGAACGACACCATCAACACCAGCTCCAAGAGGCCGCCATTCGTTGTTAGAGAAGGCAGCAACTCCACCAAGACCGGAGACGCTGTTATCTGCTGTATTGGTGAAGTTACCACCAACATATAGCGTGCTGTCGTTGTGGAACAGGGTCATGACCTGGTTGTTCAGTCCTTTGCCAGGAAGGGCAGTAGGCCCCCTGGCGCCCTGTCGGATGGAGAAGATGTTGTTGCGATCATCAGTGCTGTTGAAAGATCCGCCAACGTACAGGGTTTGGTCACCACTAGCGATGCTAGTGACGAGAGCCTTCTCCCGAGGCCTAAGGCTGGCACCAGCAGCGTTGATGACTGAATCAGAAAGGTTGTCTGCGTCCACTGTTTTTCCGGGCTGGAATTCGAAAAGGCCATTCAGGTTGCCAGAGGTAGCTTTCAGAAGAGTGAAGCGCACCCTCTGTGCGACAACAGTCAAGGGGCCAGGTCCCTGTCCGGCTGATGGTTGAAGGATGACTTGCGGGCGGAAGGCCTTGGTGGCATCGATGAAGCCGTTGTAGACTTCATCGTACTTGTCGAAGTTGTTTGTTTGCCAGAGCTCGTGGCTCTGGCTTTCACCGTTCATGACTGCTGTTACATTTACTCGACCGCGGGTACCACATGTGCCATCGCCCTGACATCCAGGCGTATAGATGGTGACCGAGTAATTACCAGACTGTCTGACATCAGGGAGGAATGATACACTTGTCGAAGTGGTGTCGATAGGGCTACCCTGCAGGACAGTCGTGAGGTACTCAGAGAAGCTCTGTTGTGATGGTGTAACTTCCCATGAGCCAGTCGTAGTCGATGTCGACCTTGACGCCGTAGGGCCGCAGTTTTGAGGTTCATTGAAGTCATTAACTGCATACGAGTACATAGCTGCAGAGGTTAGTATTGCCAAGCAGGAACAGGTAAATCGATGCAGTCACTTACCATCCTGGAAAAGCTGGATGCCGTTAAGACCAGCACCGGCGCCCCACCAGTCTGAGATGTCGAGCCTGAAAGCGTTCATTCCGACGACGTTGACAAAGGTAAAGTCCTGGGCGGTAGTGTTGCCCTCTGGCAGGGGGCATTTGGCATCACAAAAGGCCTTTCGTCCACTGGTTGGGTCGGTATAAGTCAAGTTCAAGATGCCACCGTCTGGAAGTGCTGTGAAGCGGAAGGTCTTGCTGCCACGGCCCTGGAAATTCGTGTTGAAAATCCTCAAGCTGGTTGGCTCGAAACCGAAGCCAAAGTTGGCTCTCCAAAATCCAGGTGAGCGATCTGCCAACAGCCAGGTAGAGCCGGGGCCCTGGGTTGTGAAGTCGGGCTTGCAGGCAATGCTCTTGGGATCTGATAAGCCATCGAGACCGGAACTGGTCTGAGCTGTGATATCCGCGTTGGAAATGGGAATGGTCTGGGTGTTGTTCTCGCTAGCCGCAGTCGACGCGTTTCCGCCCAAGCCATTGAACTCTCCACCGAATATTATGTTGTTATTAGAAGCTCGGGTGATGGAGTGCACAGGACCATTAAAGCCATTGAATGACAGTGATTTCCAGCCGTCCTTCCACAGGAGCGCGTTGGTCGAATTGGCGCCCGAGAGGCTTCCTCCAACATAGACCTGACCACCGTCTCTATCACAGTAGAGGGCATTGATGGAGCCAGTGAGGCCTTCGACGGCCTGGACATTACCATTGGCGGGGTCAAGCAGCGCAATACCTCCGGGCGTGGGCATGTCGCCAACTCCAGTAAAGTTTCCTGCAAACACTACTCGTTCGGCGCCATTGACTTGCAGAGAACACATGGCCTTGATGTCGGCATCGGTGACGTTGATTGTCGCAAAGACGCCATTGGGATAGCGGGAAAGCAGTGCGCCGTTGCGGCCGGGGTACTGTTGGCTTTGACCTTCATACTGGTATAATGATATTGAGTCGAAGTCTCCAGTGAAAGCTATCCTGCCTAGGTCGTCTAGGTTGAGATTAGGGCTTGGAACCTGCTTGAACGTGTATGCAGTTGTTTGCGAGGCCACCAGCAGTGAGAGGGCGAGCTTGCCAGCCGCGGTGCGCAGAAGGGCAGCGAAAGACTCCTTCATGGCAGCGATGGGTAGCAAGGTCGGTGGAAATAATAGTGTATCGTATACGAGTGTCGAGAGCGATTGTTATGAAGGAGGGTGAGGCACGGTAGGCATGGAGACGAGCGGACGGACGGGCGTCGTGGACGGGGCGGAAGGTGCAGGTTGCGCAGGGTAGTCGCGATTGTTGTTGGATTGGGTGAGCTGGACGTAAGCAGCGAGCAGCTTCCCGTTGAGATGGCGTCACGGGCGGTGAGCGTGGCGAGGGCGCGCGCAGGGCCGTTGGGGAAGGACGTTATTAGGTAGAGACAGCAGGTACGACGGGCTTGCGTGTCGGTCGCAGCTGCAATCCAAGGCTTTCGCGGGCGAGGAGCGGCCGGGGCAGTGTTTCTTGGCGCACGGTGAAAGCGTGTGTGTGATTGTGGTAGGGGGGTATATTAGGTGCCGTGTGCAGCGGCGTTTGGTGTGGTTTGTGGTTTTCTGGCTTCTGAAACGAATGACTGAGGTGAGGGATACGCGTTGGAAGAGAGGGTGTATGGGCGCCGCCTTCCCGTTGTGACACTGCTTTTGGGAGAGAGTCTTGCCCGAGAAGCCGTCGACCGCGTCAAAGGGGCGTCTGGGACCAGAGCTGCGACCGCAAAACTGTCGGGCCCGGATGCGCTGATGCTGCTGACGGACGCCGTGGGCCGAGTTGGCCGAGCGACGTCGTCTGATTGGTGTGGAATGCACTCTAGTGAGCACTAGGCCTAGAGCCTGCAGTAGCGCGCCTGTGAACGGGCGACGGTGAATGTCAATTCGATCAATTCGATGGCACCAACACGCCTAGAAATCAAATTCCCCTCCGCTTCGACAATCCTGTGCTGCAAGCCTCGCCACGCTGGTCGTCTGGGAGAACCGTTGGCAGCGAAAAATAAAGACGACTTGGCCTTTGTCTCTCTCCCGTGCCGAGCCACACGCCCCCTTTACCCATGATAAGTAATGTCCGCTACATAGCCGCTGCAGGGCAGTGCATCCAAATGTACCGTACCTTGCCCGCTACAACTCCCGTCTTCTTTGTGGCCGGGGTAGTACCACGCTCTTTAAAACGCTTTGTACGCCTGCACCCGCCCGTCTCTTTCTTGACATCATGCCACCCGTCTCGTATTCATGTCACGATGAGCTCACATCGCACCTTTCGAGTCTCGCCTCCAGCACCCTTGCGGCGCGGCATTGAAGCCTGAGGCCACATCTGAACCCCACCTGCAACATCGGCCCATGGTGATTGTACCAATTTCCGCCTTGCTCCATGTTGACACTATCGCTACGTCGCAATCTTGCCAGTCCAACAAAGTCACTGCAATCAGTGCGCTACGCCATCGCAATCAATCAATGTCATCCCCGCTATATCAAAGTGCGGTTGATCGCCGTCATGACCTGTCAAAATCGTGACGCAACGCCGCCGTCTCGGCTCTCTTGCAAGCCCTGCCCGTATCGCTGTCACGCCCGTTGACAGCGTGTTTCACAATGCATCCTGGCCGCTTCCAAGGCCCAACCGTCGATGCCTAGCCTCGTCTCAGCGGAACCAGAACTGTACAGTTCCGCCCATGTCCGGCCCGCGTGCACCAAAATAGCCACGAGGTGCGTCGTCTAATGTATGTGCTGATTGCACCAGACGCGAGGCGCGGAAACTGTGGCGTTCGCGCTGCAAAACATCGTGACTGTGCATTCATGCGCAAGCAAGCCAAATGTTGCCATGGTTGCGAGCCGCACGGCGAATGAAGCAAATAAAGAATGAGAATCTATACATTACTATACTACCATAACCTAGTTCCAATATGCCATCTACCATCACGTCTTTTCTATATCCAAGCTGGCTCCCAGCGCCACGCTGATGCCGTAAAAGATCTCATCGTCCCACCATACATCTAGCCTCATGCGACCGGCTGTTTCTTCTCCACATCGGCAACCCTATCCTTATCGACAAATCCCATCTCCGTCTCGTTTTCCATGTTCATATCGTAAGCCTCAATGAACCAGCTGCCAAGCAAGGCCACAGCGCTGAACGCCAACATAACAATCCATATGTACTTGAGCGCGTCCGTGTAACTTTCCCTGAGTTGTTCCTTCATCTCTCCGGCAGGCATATCCCGGATGATTCCGACTAGACCCGCAGCGTCTCGGGAGTACTCGCCCGCCATATCAGCGAGGAGGGGAAAAGTAAGCATCTTCTTTCTCATCTGGTTCTGAAAGATGACACCGCCAATGGCGACACCCAGCGTTTGACCAAAGGCGCGAAGAAAAGAAAACATGTTCGCAGCGTAGGCCTGGTCTTTGGCAGTCGCCGAAGCTTGCACTGCCAAAGCCATAGCTGGGAACAGCACGCCCGTTCCGATGCCGCCCACTAGGTTCAGGAAAATCCACGAGACAGTGGAAGTATTGGGTTTGAGGAGGATCAAGACGCCCATGCCCAACGTGGTGATCACCCATCCGGCGCGGTTTGCCCACCGGTATTTACCCGTTACGGCAATGGCAATGCCTGTTGCAATGGAAGCTGGTGCAACAGTGAACGTCCATGGGAACACTGCGACTCCTGAGAGTATAGGACCATATCCCTTCACGGCCTGAAAATATAAAGGCAGATAGTAGAGAATACTCCACAGGATGAGGCCGTGGATGACTGTAGAAGTGTAGAGTATTGCGGCCGACTTGGTCTTGAATACCGAGGTGCGAATGAGCGGGTTGGGGGCAAAGAACTCGATGTATGCAATGAATGCAATCAAGCCTGCAGCAGAGAGGATGAGGGGCACAAGCGTATGCCAGGAATCCCAGGCATATTGAACTCCGCCCCAAGTGACAGGTATCAAAAAGCCAGTCATGGAAGCGACGAACAGTATCATGCCAATCCAGTCGACTTGTCGGAGCTTGCTAAGGAAGGCGCCGTGTTTCTGATTGAGCTGGAGGAAGATTGTAATCATAATAGCACCAATGGCGAGGAAGGGTAGATTGATGTAGAAAACCCAACGCCAGCTAACTTTCTCTGCGAAGCCACCACCTAAGGACCATTAGCAATAATCCCACCATCATAGGGCATGTTACTCACCAAGTAGAGGCCCTGTAACAGTACCAAGTGCCCACATGACGCCGAAGACGCTGAGCCAATTTCCTCGCTCACGCAGAGGCACAGTATCGACGATGACCATTTCAGTCAAACATAGTATGCCGCCACCTCCGATACCCTGGATAGATCGGCCAACTAGGATCACAGTGAAGTTCTCAGCGAGGCCGGGTACGATCGATCCGATTAGGAAGAAAACCAGGCTGATGTATATCAAGGACTTCCTTCCGAAAATATGTGAAAAGGATCCGAGGATGGGTTGAAAAACAGTAGAGGTTAGCAAAAAGGCAGTCCCGCTCCAGAAAGCCTCGATCGCAGTTCCGCCTAGTGCTTTGGCCATGACCTAAACCATGTCAGTATATTCAAAGAGCTCTAATGTTTATGGACATACTGGAAGTGCGACTGATATCGAAGTAGCGTCTAGTGCAGCCATGAGTGTTATGATGCAAAGACTGCCAAAAGCAGCCAGGAAGCGCCATCCTGGTTTAAACTTCTCGGGGCTAGGTGCTTTGACGTTCTCTGCTGTTGCATCGCCCAACGGCCACGATTGGGGTGCTTCTGGCTTGGAATCGACCATGGTGGACTGCGATAAAGGGGATGGCATTTTGACTTAGGCTGTGAATAAGGTACGACTGAAGCTGGAATATATACTGAGGGTGTATGCAATGCTGACGTTATATTGCTTGTGTTGTTACACTTTCCAGCCTAAGTGTTGCTTGTTGGGCTGAGTATTTGTTTTGCTACCAGAGAGACATCATTTCAAGATATACATGCTCCATGTTCAGGCTGCTGGACCTGACAATCGGACTAGGGAGTTGTTCATCCGACATGGTTGCAGAACAAAGGGACGCCTTTTCCACTGTGGGACAACATTCGATCCAAAATCCCGTCACACGATTCTGTGAGCGCAGGAATAAGCTCACGTCTTGGTACGTAGGGCTGCAATGCGCGAAGTGATGACGGCGAAGTAACATTGTAGCTTACGTTAGTTAAGCCTTCAGCCCACGTTACACCGCCCAGCTGCTCCAAATTCGTCAGATTTGCCAACAACAATCTGCATCAAGTACGCCGTCGGAGCTTCACATGGAAAACGCTACCAGGGCGTAAACATACTGCATGTGTGCGATACTGATCGCCGAATCATGTAGCGTTGAGGCGGGGAGTTGTTCATCCGATGCTGGCACGCCTGAAATGCCGGACTTCGTGGTCGCCCCGGTTGGCCTCTACTTAGACCGCTGCCTAGGATTGTGGCTTTTGTGTTATCAACAGCGGCTGCAGAACGGTGAAAAATGCACATGTTATTACAAGTGTGATGCAATGCAAACAGTCGAGACGGACCAAACACAGTAAGTCCGGAACGTGGAGGCTTGGCGCTACCGGAAAACGATGCGTGGTTAGCCCAGCAACGCTTTCATTCACTAGCTTTGCATGTGTTTACTTTTTTTTTCAAACCAGTCGTGCATGAAACTTACCGTAAATTCTGTGGGTAATAAAGAATCTCTGTGCTAGTTGCATGTGGACTTGGAAGGCACGTGACTGGAAGCTAGCTGAGTATCAATACATGTAACCCATCGATAAGCCTGGAAAACAATCATGTTGCTGTTGTTGAAAGCAGAGAACAAATTATTAAAATTGTATGGCGACACGTTCTTTGGACGTTGTTGCCAGGCTCCATATGACCGTTCGCGTCTTACATTCCAGGACCAGACTTCGACCTTTGTTCCCAGCAAGACAGTCCGAAGCGGCTCCGCTTTCGTCAGTCGCCACGTGCCATCCCCAATGGCACTTTTCTTTATTTGGTAAGATTCTAGAAGCATTTTAGGACAGATACAGCAATCCGACTCTCTACAACTGCTTGCGACAGTAAAGGTACTAGTTTGTAAGGGTGGTATTAAGGGTAACTATTGGAGGTACACTCATAAGGTGCGTCTCTAAGTGAAAAGACACACTATCGCGATACAGGTTCACAGTCCAGACACGCAGAGGTTCTTCTTGCCTATTACACACTCGCTCGTGCTAGCTGCTGTCACAGAGATAGCAGGGAAGATAGGTGCACGTAATGGGTATATTCACTACGTGTGGCTAGAAGAATTAGGTCAGGCTATAGACAGGACGTAGCTTAAACAGCTACAATGTGAGCGGGTTTTGCAGGTTTTTTCGAAGACGCCGAGTGTGCTAGGGAGCACCCGCCATATTTGTAGCTAATTATCGCCGAGCGGATTCTTAATGTTCTTCTTGTATTATTATTAATATTATATTTCCATTAGAGTCCTGTATCAGTCGGTGACTATGTAGGACTTTGGCTAAGCCGTTCTATGTATGATGGTCGTTGTGGAGTTTCTATGGGTCTTGTACAATTTGGGTGGTGTTTTGCGTACTCCAATTTCAGAGCTAGTCTTCCATTGGCGCGGGGGCTAAAGAGCAGTGTGGTGAATAGAAAGAGATGTAGCAGCGATGTTCTTCTTGTAGCCAGCGCTATAAAAGCTACTCTCCTAACAGTTATATCAACCACAGTAGCAATCACAAAGGCCAGTCGGATTCACCCATGATGATTGCAACGTCTTAACATGGCACTATTTAGAATATTAGCTATCCTAATAGTATAATATAGAATAGCTATGTAACTTACTCGGTCGCACTGCTTTTGACACTGTATACGCTCATCGGGATGGCAATTTCCTGGAGGCGCCTGTCCATGTCCTACGTCAATAATGATCATAGTAGGTAGAGCTTTTAACACTCTAATAAAAAAAATACATACCCATGGAGCGACTTTACAGTTAATACTACCTAACGCCACAGGTTCTGGTGATTTTTCTGGTGGTGCTTGTGCACCTCCTAGTCCTGCAAGAAAAGATAGAACGAGTACACTCAGAAAGCGCATTATTTCTGTATAATTTCGAAGTAGTTATAGGCGTGGGTAGATCGAGCGGAGGAAAGCTTGAATAAAAGTTATACGTAACATGGTTGGCAAGCGAGTCGGTCACCCAAAAACACACCAAAAAGCTGAGTTTTGGCAACTCGATATCTCAACAACCACCTAATAGATTTTTCTTAAAATCTTATTGTAAAGCTGCACATACATAAGCATGTAAATTCTATAGTTACAGGGCTATAGCTAACTTGATTGTAGAGTTATTAAGCAGAAACGAAAAATTCCCGCTTTTTTAGCCCCCAAATTTTATATCTCTATATCTAGAGTAGCTAGGGCCCTATAATTATAGAATCTTATAGAGTTATAATCCTAGAGCTCTAGTAGAACCTTTGAGAAAAATCTATTTGGTGGTTGTTGAGATATCGAGTTGCCAAAACTCAGCTTTTTGGTGTGTTTTTGGGTGACCGACTCGCTTGCCTGACCGACTCGCTTGCCAACCATGTTAGAGAGAGATGGTTTCTTATAGACGTTTAGTGTAAGAGGATTCATAGCCTCTTATATAGAGGGATCTAAGGAGCACAATATTATGCAAAAGCGATGTCAGATAATAGCACTGTTGAAGATGAGAGCGTACTGTCAGATAATAGCACTGTTGAAGATGAGAGCGTACAGACGCTGGGTTAGACTAGCGCGACCTGGCATCTGTGAGAGCCAATCGGATCACAGGAAGGCTTGGCACCCCCCCAGGTGTGCCCACAACCGTAGACAGAACCAACACACAATCAATCATCAATATGATCACGATCATTACCCATTTCATCAGTATTCCAGATAAGAGTGAATATCTGACACGTACAGACGCTGGGTTAGACTAGCGCGACCCGGCATCTGTGAGAGCCAATCGGATCACAGGAAGGCTTGGCACCCCCTAGATGTGCCCACAACCGTAGACAGAACCACAACACAATCAATCATCAATATTATCATCATCATTACCTATTTTATCAGTATTCCAGATGAGAGTGAATATCTGACAAGCGAATAATCGATCGTTAGACTAAGAAACTAGTAGGGGTAGAGCCGTAGAGGTACGTATTAGATGACATTTAGCTAACGTTGACAGACCGTCTTAGGCTCTTGGCGTAATATCAGCCTTGTATTGTGAACTTATACTATTGTATGCAACGATTCCGAGCTCTAAGGATCTACGGATCTAGCCACTATTCGATTCCCCTATTATAGTCTTTATATTTTTGTCTCGGCATTTAAGCGCGGATTAGTAGGCGGCTGCCTTTCCAAATACAGAGTCAACTTTATGACACATAGAAACCCTCTTAATAACCCGAAAAAATCGTACTATTGTCACCTGTAAGGTAATTGCTTGATCCTTAACTTCGTCTTTCTCGGTAGAAATCCCTCGGGATTTTTCTTGTTGCTTGCGACGCGCTATAGAATACGCTGAGCGCTGATTGGTAGACACATAGATCTAGCTACAGTAGATGTGCTAGTGCTGACTGAGATTTTGAGAAAGATCATCGACGACCAAGTCGGATAACCTACTATGTTACCAGTAATACCGAATTTCTGATCCTAGATGGGTGACGGATCCTTGGCGTACATACGAGGAGTTGCATAATATTGGGGAGAGCTTTATGGAGCTACTTCACACAGCCTTACCTCTAGGTCAGATATCTTCAGAATTTCTGAAGATAAATTTCCTGGTGACTCACACTGTGCTCTCAAAATATGGTAGCGACACTAGTATCATGGTACAGTCGACCTAAGGCACCTCCCTAAAGCTACCGCATCTAAAAGTCCTCAAATGATTACACCGATGCAGCAAATTTGCGACCGAAGAGAACCCCTAGCCTGTAGCCTTGCCTCTAGGTGACGTAGCTAGCAACCAGCCTACGTAATGCTCTGACATATAGATAACCGGAGACGCTTGGTACTTACAGGATTACTTAGCAATCTGTTGGTCAGCTACGGATAGTTAGTCTGTGGGTCTAGAAGAGGAGCCGTGCCGTTACACTGGGCGTCCCGGCATGCTCGGATAGACATGAGTGTGTCTTCAGAGGGAGCACTAGCGGAGGGCGAGTAAAGGGCAGGAGGTGCTAGTTTAAGTTGATTTGTAGGCGAGGGAGAGAATGATAGCATAGTCGTTGACGGAAGCATGGATGAAGTACTTATATGTTAGCCATGAAACGAAGAAGACGCTTCTGGAAACCCACTAGATCATGGGTGGTTAGAAGTTTTTAAAATAGTCTGTCGGTTCGTAAACAACACCGAAGGAA